TCTCTCTCTCTCTCTCTCTCTCTCTCTCGTAATTTATGCCATAGCAAAGTTTTCCATTCTCAATATGCCAGTATCAAATGAAATGAAGTCAAACGGACTTCAGTTATATTCAGGTGGTTAGCCGTAGTCTGAAACAATAGAACAAAGTTTGAGTTCAATGGCACCTGTATCTGTTAGATCCAGCAGCTATATCTTCTCTCTCTCTCTCTCTCTCTCTCTCTCTCTCTCGTAATTTATGCCATAGCAAAGTTTTCCATTCTCAATATGCCAGTATCAAATGAAATGAAGTCAAACGGACTTCAGTTATATTCAGGTGGTTAGCCGTAGTCTGAAACAATAGAACAAAGTTTGAGTTCAATGGCACCTGTATCTGTTAGATCCAGCAGCTATATCTTCCTGTCTTGTGAGGCAATGATATTGAACCTATTACATTTTCCTTCACAAACTTGCATGCAAGCTCCCACAATCTTACCTTGTACCTCAGCTCATTCCTGGTAAAATTAGGCACCATTATGACCTTCTGTGTAATCTTTCTCACTGGGCAGTCTATCAGAATATGATCCAGTGCCAAAGCTTTGGTTGCAATTCCCGTCAAGGTAAAGACATGATCTGTGCCATCGTCTTCATTTTGTAAAATGAGCTTCCCCTATGAGGATCAGAAAAGTAAATATTCATTAACAAAGATGCAAACACTTTTCAATAGACTTAGGAGCCAGTTTGAGGGACAAACTGAGGCCCAAACTACACATTACATTTTTGGTGAGTCAACCTGGGGTTCCCTAGACCCCAGGAAGGAATCCTCCCTCCCTCCATGTCATAGTTCCAAGCAGAACTGAACTCCTGGGGACTTCAAAAATGCCTCCTCCTCCCCCCCCCCCAAGCTGCTGTGGGACTGCAAGGAATGCTAGTCCGGTATGGGGAACCTCAACCTAACTCAACAAGGAACATAATATGTAGTTTGGCCCTGAGGCCAATGAGAAAAGAAATCCTATGCCAACTGAAGCACTCTGATTTCCTCACCTCTCACTCCTTTGTCCACATGTACTGCTAGATATTATTATCACACTCTTATGCTTGTACCAATTTTCCAGCATGTGAGAACTTATAGGGTCTAGGGCTTATCCAGATATGTTCCCTTACTTTTGGAGGACACACCACTGAATACCTGTGGCACCTTTGTAGTATTTGCTTTTTCTATATAGAAGTAAAGCATAGGTAGAGGCAGAGATACTCCTGCAGAGAAGCAGATCCACTATCCACATATCTCCAGAGAAAGAGATCCTGCATCCCAAGGTACTTCAGCCAATTCTCATAAGAATCTGTCTGTTCCTTTCTCTCTGTCTCTTCCAGAATCACAAGCTTTGCTTTCTTTTTACAAGGTCATACATCTACCCCCTCCCTTCAGACAAGGAGAAGTCATCTCTTCCAAGCCCTAAGAGGCTCATGGTCACAGTCACTTCCTAACACTGAAGACCCACTGAGGAGATAACTACACACTAGTTAAGACAGACCCTATTTGTGGCAGCTATGAGGGAGGGAGCAAGAGAGAGGGAGGACTCTGAGACAACTGCTCACTAGACTAAAAAATGTCCAGTTCACCACTCTGCCCTCTCCTACAGATTCTTTAAATCCCAACCACCTACCATCATATAAAAAGGGGGACACAAGCTTTGATTAAAGGAATGGCAACATGTATGTGCTCCCTAAAGGTCTCTTATTTGGAAACATATAAATGAAATGGCTGAAAATGTGGAAGATACGTTGTGCAGCATACTAAAGGCAACAGAATTTGTGTTAACAGCTGGATGTATCATCTTTACCAGGCAGTGAATTTTTGCTTCTTGCTTATGTGCACTTTATAAAAGATGAAAGTTTGGCTCAAGAGTTGTTGTTTGCAAGGCAACCAAAAACAGATGCTAAAAGGGAATCAACATTTTGTGTTCATGAGCAGTTCTTCAAAGACAAGGAAATTCTGTGTACTAACATACTTGCCTGTGCAACTGATGGAGCACTATCAATGACAGGTCTACCTTGATAGTGTTGCTTACTTCAAAAAGCAGTACCAAATGTCTTTACCATTCACTGTGTCATTCTTTGCCAGCATCTGATTGCATAAAACCACAGTGATCACCTACACAATTCATTACACACTGTCATTAATGCTGTGAATAAAATGAAAGCCCACGTTCTCAATGATCAGCTCTTCTTGGAGCTCTGTGTTGAGAAGGATGAAGATTTTGAATGTTTGCTGCTCCATACTGAAGTTTGTTGGCTGTCAAAAGACAACTGTATGAGATGCTTTTACAACCTTTTTGACACTTTTGTGGAGTTTTTTGAAGACATGAATGCTTAGCTCAGCAATGAACTCAAAGAGATCAGGCATGACACTGCTTATCTGTCAGAACTATTTACAAAGTTAAATGAAATTAATTTGCAGTTGCAAGGAAATGAGCTCAATCTTATTAAGGCCAAATCTGTCATCTCTACATTTATTTCAAAGTTAACTCTATTCAAATGCAATATAGGCCATTGCGAGCTATACCAATTTCTGAGTTTATCTGAGCTGGAAGAAAAAGGTATATACAAGACGATTATCTGCAAGTTTTTTGAGATCATTTGGATATGTGGCATGTGTTTCAAAAGGATTGTGTTTCAAAAGAAATTCCAGATTGGGTGATAAATCCATTTTCAGATACTGAGGAAGCTGGGATAGTGGAGAAGAACTAAGTGAGCTACAAAATGACATTGAGCTGAAGCCAAAGTTCAAGAAATAGTACCAAAAGTTTTGGTTACAGGAGGAAATTTCTGATCACTATCCTGCACTATGGCCAGTGTTTCAGTCCCTTTATTGGCATACATAAAAATATACAGCAAAGAATACAGATTGAAATGCTACTTTAGATTTGAAATGCAGCCCTGAGCCCATGGGGAGGGCGGGGTATAAATATGAAAAATAAAATAAATAAATAAATAAAAGGTCACCCAGCATGAGATTTAATCTTATGCTCCCTAATCATCATAGCAATTGAAAGATACCTTGCTAGAGAGTATGTAATATGGGGACACTGGTCGGATAAATGAAACTAGCCTCTCTTCAGGTAGTCCAGAAAGATTAAACAAGAGGGGACTAATTATGGTCCTACACTTTTTCATAAAAATCATGAAAATATGAGCTACCAATTCAGGTTTCCTTGTTCTACATGGGCAGAGTCTTTCATGATAGGGAATATTTGCAAATCTCCCAGACAGGACCACTGATGGTAGGGCATTCAATTGAGCAAGCATGGAGGCTTGACATAGTTGAGGGGGAATAAGCTGTGAGAAGCAGCAGGCACCCCATGATCAAGGATGATGCCAAACCTCAGAGAGGAGCATGACTATGGACAGTGTCTAAGAAGCTCCTTAATGCATTTCCAACATTATATTTCATAGAACATGGTTTTAGTGTGGTCCTCCAACTTCTCTCCAAGCAAAAAATTGACTCCAGATTACCAAACTTGGTGATTTAACACTCCTTCTTAGTGACTTTAAACCAAACCCTGGGAAACTGGTATCACTTTATCAAGCTGATCCATTGCAATAAGAATTTACTGAACAGTTAAGTAGTTACCATATGCAGTATGTAAGATTCTTGCTAAATGACGATCAGACTTTGAAAGCTGGTATCTCTGGATCAAGTTCAGTAATTTTGTTGAATAGATTAAATGAAAAAAGTTTTAACTGGATTTAGAATAACTGTGCAATTAATTTTTACTGTTTAAATTTTATTGTTATTATCTTCCTTGATGGGTCATGTAAACTGCTTTTCTGAATAATGCTTTTTAATAGGGTAGAGTAGGGGGCACTGGAGATGAGTTTATGGAACCAAGGTGGTGGTAGCCCCCCCAAAAAATTTGGGAACCACTGTGCTAGACCAATACTGAAATTATTTGCGAGATAGAGAGAAAACACTTTTTCCTAGATATTTGAATAGACAGACAAGACACAGGTGGAGATGAACAACAATGGTTTATTTAACAGAAAGTATTTAATAAGGTAAATGTTTTTGTGTGGATGTTTTGGCTTCAATACAGAAAGTAAAACTGGCTGTCAACGTCACCCTCAAAGGTTACAAACTTTTCTACAAGGGGAGTAACTAAGCCTCAAGTGAAGTGAATAAACCCTGAAGACAGATTTGATTCACCTTTTTCCAGACAGGTTACCTCATCAGGTTCAAGGCTGTTCTTTTACCACACAGAGCTCATTTCCACAGAACCTGTAGGAATATCAGGCCCTTAACTGGATGCTTATTTGTCTGAGACAAGTTTTCTTCCCTTAAGCTGAGCCCAAACCCTAACTAAAAGCCAAATGAAAATCTGACTAAACTGACACTCTTATTATCTGGAGCTACCAATATCCCTGTCTGGAAGGGGGGGGGGAGTTTTTCTTCACCTTCTTAAGCTAAGGCTAGCTGACCTTCTCCCATCTAGTGGAATTCCATGGGCTCTCCTTATCTGGAGACTATCAATCTTGCCATGCCAATCCATGCTATAATAACCTTGAGGCACAACTATTGTAATATGGGGCTGACTGCCAGGCAACACGGAAACTGCAATTGGTACAGAATGTAGGAGCCCATCTGGTATCAGGGGCTAGTGCAGTGAATATATTACTCCTATTCTCTTTATTGGATGCCATTGTGTTTTTGCATCAAATTTAAGGTGTTGGTATACCTTTAAAGCCTTTACGACCTTGGGCCCATACTCCTGAAGGACCAGATCTCTTGGTATGAGCCCACACAGCATCTTTGCTTGACTCAGCAACATCTGTTAGGTGTTTCATCTCCCCCATCCTGCTGCTGCTCTATCATGGGCTTTTTCAGCAACTGCCTCAGCCCTCTGAAACACCCTTACATAGAAACTGAAGGACAGGTTGACCCTAATGGAATTTCATAGGTGCAGCAAGGCAGGCTTTTAAAGAAGTCCTTTATTATCTAGTGATGACAAGTTAAGGGTGTAAGAGATGGTTGATTTTGTTAGGCAGCAGTTTGTTTAAAAGTGCATATTAGTGGTTATAACTACTTAGCTGCACCAATTGTTTTTGTTACTGCATTTTCCCCATTTTGTATAACATTGCTGTTACCTGCCTTGGGTCCCAGTTGTCCCAGCAGAAAGAAAGAAAGAAAGAAAGAAAGAAAGAAAGAAAGAAAGAAAGAAAGAAAGAAAGAAAGAAAGAAAGAAAGAAAGAAAGAAAGAAAGAAAGAAAGAAAGAAACTGAAATAATTGGAGAAACAATGGGCTAAAACTGAATACATTCTTCTATTCACATTCAAATTTAGAAACTCTTCAAGGAAGCTACAGAAAATAAACAAACAGAATAAATACTAAAGTGATTTGGGCAGTAAAGACTCTTCTTGACCATATGGGCATCTGGCAATTACTACCAGTATAAATACACTGTCTTATAATACAGTGGTCTGCTTATTTTGAATATACTATCCACCCACAGTTCCCTTTACCCACCAATTTCTTTCCCACACAGCACTTCACTACATAAATATCTTGTCTGGAAATAATTATAGTTGTTACACATAATTTGGTAGTGAGTGGCTGGAGATAAAAGTGAACTGCATTGTGTGTGATAAGCTGCAGCAGCAATTATGGATATAATTGCTTTTTTTTGTTTTGCTTATAAGATTCTGGCATTGTTATGGAATATTTTGAAACTATGAGATAATTTACAAGGTCAGTTCTACATGCTGAATATGGCTGCTTCAATCAACATAGTTAACTGGGTTTTGTTTAATCTACAATTTATTGCAGAAACCCTGGTTAGTCTACCAGAAATACATACATGAAGCTAAACTTTGTTTATAAATCACAGATAGTTTTCCATTCATCTCCTTTGCTACCTCCAAGCAGAAAAAGGGGTTGTGTTTACCTGTAACAACTGTTCATCCAGTGGTCTTCTGTGCAGACACACATGGGACTGCACGTGCATGCAAGCCTGCTGCTGAGTTATCAAGCTTTCCTTTTAGCGCTCCCACTCCCTCTGGCTTGAGCCAGCTCTTCCTACCTAAACCAACATGTGACTGGGGGGGGGGATGCTCTTTCTCTCACCATTGTGGAGGCTAGACTGAGAGATCCATGGGAAGTAGCCTACAGCAGGGAAAGGAGGGAGGGATGTGTGCCTGCACAGAAGATCACTCAATGAACAATGGTTATAGGCAACCCAGTTTTCAGCTTCGTGGCTTCTGTGCAGTCCCACATGGGAGAACAGCAAGCTTATCTTATGACCTGGCTAGCAAAATAACATCTGCAGCACTGCTTTTTCTAGAGCTACCTGACTCCTGAAATCAACATCAAGTAGCGCTTCATGATCATAGATGGCTTGGGCCAAATTGCTGCCCTGCAGACCTTAGTAAAGGGGACTTTGCCCAGAATTGCTGCGTTAGATGCTTGCACCCTGGTGGAGTGTGCCTTCACTGGGAAGGGCAAGGAGTCCCAGATATGGCATATTCACTCTTAACCAATACACCAAACTGGCATGGCCAGACATGGCTATTGGCATGATTAGTATGGCCATGGAAGGGAAGGGAAGGGAAGGGAAGGGAAGGGAAGGGAAGGTGTGACCCATAGATTGAGAGTCTGAAGCAGTCCACAAACAAAACGGGTGGCATTTGGCTTGGTGCCTGGAGGCAAAACAGTAAACCATCCAAGGACCCCAGAGGCAAAGAAAATAGGACAAAGATATTGGTCAGCAGCACTGGGTCTGCTGAAGGCATCCATGGTGAGATTGGCTTGCATAGCCATATGAATAGCATAGAGAGAGACTTTTCTGGGAATTGCCTGCTTCCATGGGTAACATGCTTCCTAAACAAGGCCAGGGAACCTGTGCCCCCACTTATTAAGGTAAAACTTCCCAGTAGTATTATTGGTAGCTATATTCACCCTCTTATCCTGCAGAAGGGTATCAAAGGAGTTTATATGATGGAGTTTTGTGCCAGGACTTTGGCTGTAAGCTTATTCTTTCTCATCCTATCCAGGGACTCATCAGTATGTGCAAAAAAACCCCTCTTTCCAGTCACAGGAGAGGTCTTCCACTTTTGCCCTTGTTTTGTTAGGGAGAGCCGTGGTGTATAACCAAAAGTGGTGCCGAAGCAACCACCCCCAACGCCATAGCCCTGCTAGTGCAATCATCAGCATGGCTTCTAGTATTAATCTATTCTTACCCAGTCTTACCCCTTCACAGGGCTTTTTTTGTAGAAAAAGGCCAGCAGGAACTCATTAGCATAATAGGCCACACCCAACAGCAGAAACTCATTAGCCTATCAGGCCACACCCCTGACAGCACAGCATATTAACATATTAGGCTACACCCCCATGTTACCAGAAGTGTGGTCATCCAGCCACACCCACCTCTTGCTTCTTATTCTGTTTACCTTGTTTGTTGTCAAAACCCAGGGCTTTTTTTTGTAGCATGTTAGGCAACACACCCTTAATGTAGCCAATCCTAATGAGTTTCTGCTGTTGGGTGTGGCTTATTATGCGAATGAGTTCCTGCTGGGCGTGGCCAACTTGGGAGCCAGCCGGAACTCCGTTCCTGTGCGTTCCTGCCCAAAAATAGCCCTGCCCCTTCAGCTTGAATCACCTTAGCTAAGAATATTTTTCCTCAGGGAGGGCATCCAGGTAAGATAAGAGACAATCCTACTTGAATAACTGATACCTAAAACCACACTGTAGTTAGGGACTCTGAAAACTAGTGTCCTTGAAGAGTAAACTTTCCTGCCTATGCCATCCAGCTTCCTCCCCTCTTTATCCAGTGGGAAGGAAAGAGATCCCGCCCTATATTTTGTCCATTGTAGCTAGTGTGCCTTATGGCTTGTTTTTGGTCACTGAAAATGCTTTCATAATAATGAGCAATATAATTTTGCCCTAGTGCCATGCTCCAGCAAGAATGATGTGTTTATATTCCTGTTGTGCAAAACCTAATTAATCATAGCGTAGAGGCATTATGTACTCAGAATGTCAAACTTCATCATTTAGATGACCAATACATCCTTGATTCCATTGTGTGATGGCTTCTGGAATGGGTGGAATGGGGTGGAAACCAGCTTTAGCCATTGGTATTATCATCATATATAGCCTTGTGTTTACCTGGAGGGCCAAATGGCAGGGCAATGAAGATCCGGCTCCTATGGGCAAGAACAGTTTATAACTCACAATCCTATGAGCATCCTTTGGCCATCCAGGTGTGAACTGTATAACTTCTGTAACTCCGTTTTTGTTTTCTGATAGTGCCTGACTTCTGGTTGCCTAGGAGGATGGCAGGCAGGCTGCTCTGAAGAGAACATTCCTTCTATGTTTTTATTAGCACTCTCCCAAGTTCTTATCTAGAAACCTGACTTGTTTTTCTCCAGCACTGGGTACCAAGTGCAAGATATGGTCTGGCTTCTTCCAGCATTTAGGAATGTAGCTCTGACTGATGATATTCTTGACTCCCCTCCTGGAGACTGGCAATCCTACATGAGAGGGCTAATTGCAAGCCTATTCTAAATTAAAGCTGTAACATGGTTTATCACAGTATATGAACACAGACTATGAGGTTTAAAGATATTCTCATGCGGAAATAGCTTAGGGGTAATAACTACAGTCTGTACTACTATGCATAGTACACACTGGCAGTTACTGTATATGTGATCCTACTATGTAATTTCTGAATTGTTCAATGCACCAAGTTAATGCTTATGCTTTGTTTAATATTTCTGCTTGTTTTCAGATTTCTGCAATGCAGATCTTATGGCACTGTTTACTGGATGTTCCATCCTGCTGACTGTAATGATTTACACTGTGTAATCCAGTTTGAGTCTCAGGGAGAAAAGTGGACTATAAGTAACTTAAATAAATAAAATACATATATTTCAGAGTGATCCCTAATTCCCATTAGTTGTTTGTAAGTGAAGTGCTGTTCACACACAAAAATAATAATGTTATTCATTTACCTTAGTTATGCATTCAGTAGTTGGTTTGAAGATGAGAGTGTAAGTAGCCGTTTCACCCGGGGCTACATATATGAGAGGAGGACCATAAAAAGACTGTCCCTTTAAAATGGCTTTAAGCTTCCAATCCTGTTGACTCATGTTAGCCTGAAACAGAAAGGTATTCAAATGAAATGCCTAAAATATAAGTGCTGCTAAGAAGAATTCACAGATTAATAAAGGGCATCTCCCCCCTAGACTATGCAACATGCACTCACACTTTCAGATACCGTTATAATTTTTCATTGTGCTCTAATTTATTACATAGGAAAACACCCAATTAAATTGCACAGTGTGTTTTCCCAAACTTCACACTATACTGGGCTATGATTCATGCTGGAGGTCAGCTGCACTGCAAGCTATTCTGACCACCCTGAACCAAAGCAATGCATTGCTATAATGCAGTTACACTATAATGCTGCACAGGACGAGTTCAGATGAGCTAGCAGCTTGCTGCCTAAACCAAGATACGGTCTAGATTTGTTAGCAGCAGGCTGTGCAGAAGCTGATCACTGATTCCTGAATCTGCTCAGTGTAGTTCAGGTGCTTCACAGCACATCAGTGCTGGGGTTCAAAGCTGGGTGAGCAGTGCAACTATTCCAGTGATGCAGTATGAGCGTGATTTTAATCTGCCTCCCTCTTCACTAGATGGGCGTTATCAGGAAACTTTTGGCTGGAGAAAGTCCACTTGATTTTTAATCCACATAGTCCTCCCATTTGTGTCCTACAACAGCCCTGTGAGGTAGTGCATGCTGACCAACAGGTGACCTTTCAAACAAAGTAAGGGTTTAAACGTGAATATCTTTAGACCTAGCCTCACACATGATGCTGGTTCTCTAGAGCTCTTATTTGTTAGTACTGGAGGAAGGGTTTTTTTTCCCCTGTTGGTGGCAGAAAGTGCTACCAACTCACAGCTGACTGATCGGTGACCCCATCGGGTTTTCAAGGCAAGAGACATTTAGAGGTGGTTGGCCATTGCCTGCCTGTGACCTGGGTATTCCTTGGTGGTATCCCATCCAAATACTAATCAGGGCTGACCCTGTTTTGTTTCCGAGATCTGATGAAATTGGGCTAGCCTGGGCTTTCTAGGTCAGCCCCCCCCCCCCACAATACCAATTAACCACCCCTAAAAGATTTTTGAAGCTGCAAAGTAAGCAAGATTCTAACAGTTCAAAGAATCACATGGTGCGGAAAACAAGAGTTGGAAGATATGCACTTGATGCACCACATCCTTCAACCCCAGTATTATTCCCCACAATAAACCCTATAGTGAAGGGAAACAAGCTGCCAAATAGACAAACTACTAAATGTGTGCACCTATGCAAAATTTGCCCAGCAAATAACCAAGTCCAAAAACATTAATCCCTGAAAATGAGAGTCAGTTATACGTTCACCCCCACCACTGAAAACCTGCTCTTTAATTCTAGGTTTCCTGGAGGTGGATATTTTAACACCATCAATATGTGTACCTTATTTATCATTAATTTGTGAAGAAGAGATATCTGGGCAAGTAAATACCCCTTTATCTTCAGAGATCTAAAAAAACGTGAATGTGATCAGGCTAACTTTCACAACAATGATTTAATGCTACTTCCAACACAGAGTGTCTTTCAAAGTTCATCTCTTCCAAGCCTCCTATCTAAATCCCTCCCTGCTCTATTCCACAGTGAGGAAATAGTCTGTAATTGGTGTCTCTTAAATCATTTTTATAAAAAAATAATAATCAGGAATTGTATTTTTGTGCTGTAGGAAACAATGGCAAAACAATAGCTCTATCACTCCCCTCCCCCTTCCCCCCCCAAGCAATCCCTCCTAAGACCCTCAAACCATATTGTTCCTAGATTGCAAACCACAGGGTAAGGTCAAAACTACACATCCACCACATGATTGCCATGGTGACTTGAAGCCATTTGGCAGCTGTGAGTTCTCCATGGGAGCTCAATTCAGAAGTGTCATAGGGGCCAGATTCAGACTGGGACAGTGGTACATGAGGAGTGGCTCCTGCCTCTCCCCCTGCACCATTTTCCTGACCTGAAATGGCCACAACAGCATAATTTGCCCCATCAGGGATCTGTACATGCAGCCTCACCAGAGGGAAAATAATGCCCCTTGGGGCCATTTTGGGTTGGGAAAATGGCATGGGGGTGAAGGTAGGAGAGCCTCCTCCCCCTGTATCACAGGCTTGATCCGAATTGGGGCCCTGTGGTGCTTGTGAATTGAGTTCCCATGGGAAACTCACATCTGCTATCAAACTACAAGTTGCTGTGGCGATCACCTGATAGATATGTGTAAAGGTAAAGGTTTCCCTTGCTCGACTCTAGGGTTGCGGTGCTCATCTCCGTTTCCAAGCCGAAGAGCCAGCAATGTCCAAAGACGTTTCCATGGTCATGTGGCCGGCATGACTAGACGCCCAAGCGCACGGAACGCTGTTACCTTCCCACTGAAGCGGTACCTATTTATCAACTTGCAATTTCTTGCTTTCGAACTAGGCCAAGAGCCTTTTGACCAAGCTGGCTTTTAAAGGAATCAGTTCCAAAAAGCACCCAACAGCAGCTTCAATCTATCTGGGCTGATTTCCCTATGCCCCATGTGGATTTTCTAGAAACATGTTCTTGGACTTCCCAGCTGGGAAAATTCCCAGCTTCATATGGGCCCAATTCAGATCACAACCACCTCACACAAAATAGGTTCAGCCTCCCCTCACCCCTCTAATTTCCATGACCTGGAATAGCCAGGGGATATGTTTGTTGCCTGTTGGGGAAACTTGTGTGCACTGATGGCTACATGGGCATTTCCCCAACAGACAAAGTATCAGCTTGCTGGAGGTGTTTCAGGTGAGGAAAATGGCACAGAGGTCCTTCTCCTCCCATGCCACAGTTCCAGTCCAAATTAGTCCTGTATACACTAGGGAACTAAGTTCCCAGCACAAAATGTCAGGCATACATCTGACCCAAAATTCTTGTGGCTGTCGTGTATCCACCCTATGGACTTTTAAACTAGCCCTCAGAGGATCAGAGCTTCTCACCACACAGTGAGACAACAGTGTACATGTGCAGCTCTGTCTTCTGCTTGGGTTTTATTTTTCTTTAAATATAATACTTTTCCATGTACTTGGTATTAAGGACTTGCCCTCACTTTCTGTTTCAGCAGCCTTGGCTCCTGATCCCCTTGCTGGCACAAGAATACCCATTTTATTATTAGAAGCATGGTACAATGGTTACAGTATTGGCTTAAGACCTAGAAGAACCAGTATGAATCCCTGCTCTGCCCTCGAGCTCACTGGGTGACTTTGGGCCAATTACTCTATTAGCCTAATCTACCTCACAGAGTTGTTTTGAGGATAAAATGGAAAAGAAGAAAATATGCTATAAGTTGCTTTGAGTTGCCATCACAGAGAAAAGTAGGGTACAAGTATCTTAAAGAAAGAAAAAAGCAATTATTGTTTATAGAGCACCAGTGTACATGGAACCTTACAAGGTTTAATTAACCTGCCTCCAAGTAACTTGCAATCTAACACTAACAATGTGGAAAGCTATACCGGAAGAAGGGAGAGATGAAATTAGTAAGGAATTAATGTAAGCAAATGTAGTTACATATATTTCAAACTATCAGATACAGCTGGAAAACCAAGTACTTCACAGAAAAGGCTGGTTTTTAATAGTTGGATCTGTATTTAGACTGGAGTTTGGAACACCTCAGTTTTCATTCCATGGGGCAAATCCTACAGCCATTCCAAGATGTTTTTCTACTATTTTCAGATATTTTTCTACTATTAATTATATGTTAATGATTAAAAGTTGTACAAGATCTTCAGAGTGACTATGAAGTAAATGCAGGAAGAAATCTCTCATCTGTTTTCCAGCTGCTGACACACACACACTTTTTTAAATCAAGTCACCATTTTGAGCCCAGTTATGACCAGTGTTATTTGACTTCTGTCATGTAAACTAGACATACTATTGGGATATCCTGAATCACTGCTTGATATGCAGGAGTTACAAACTCCAGCTCCGCCTCAACAGTATCTGTGTTCACCACACATTCAATGTTATAGATCCGGATGTCATATTTGGACTGTAGAAGAATCTGGCAAGGATATCGTCCAGGATATTGAGGTACAAACTTTATAGAAAGCTCAACTGCAGCATCTTCTGTGGGGTAAAAAAAAAATCATCTTTAGATTAAATACATGCATTATACCAGTCATCTTAAATTTTTCAAAGGTGCTCCAAACCCTTCTCTAAAGAGTACATGATGGTACATTTTATTAATTTGTCCTGCAACTATATAACTATACCTAGAGGTGCTTGTGAACTCATTTCACTAATTTTTCCCACTTTTACATGGATAGCAATGACTGCAGTTAAATTAAAATAAGAACCAACAAGTTTTTCCTTCTCACTTCCATAATGTTGGTATGTTTATCAAGCTGTAAGTGCTGGGGGCTACAGCTACAGTAACATTTAAGGTGACACAAGGCCCTATAGCCTCTCCCCCTTTCCTGCTTCCTTTTCTTCTTCCCACCTGCCAGCCAACTTGCTTTTATCTGTCCCTCTGTAATTAGCTTTTCCTCCCCATCTCCCCCTGGCAGTTTCCCCAGGGAGAACTATTTGTGGCAACCGGGACGGGCTGGGATAGGCTTTTCTCACGTTTGTAGAAAGACCAGTCTTGTCTGCCCATGGCTCCAATCTCTGGCTTTAAGTAGCCACATCTGGCGCCATGTTGAGAACTAGATATATTGATTATTATATCCCACAGCTTATTTGTACACAGCCAAAAACATTTGAATATGAAAATGTGGGCAGAAGGGGCAATACCTCTGCTTTACTCAAAAGCAGGATAAAATGTATTCCGTGAATAGCTTTACAAATTTTTCATTCTTACCCCTTTCCCTGTTTTGTTGGAAACAGTGAAAAGGCCCAACACCTAGTAGCTAATTTTTGATGACAAAGGTCACCAATAGTAATTCCATTGGCAATTTGGCCTCTATTTTATTAAATGGTGTTTGGTTACAATTCAAACCTATCACAACTCCCATTGTCATGGTTAATTTTGACCTGAACTCCATTATTCCTTTTTAAAGAACTCTAGTTCAGGAAAGGAACAATATAGCTTTACATTATGTGCCTTCAACAGCACCAGGCTATCAAACAGATTATAGATTGCACCTCAGAGGTTCAACCTTCTCTGAAATAAATTAGCTTGTACTCTCATAAAGACAAGATTAATGACCTGCTAATTTATGAATTATTACCTCTTTTCAGTTTTGTCACCCAGTTATTATCCCCACCAGCTATCTTCCACAAAAACGTTCCACTTTTGTCAGTTATACAAGTAATAAAACTCACCCACTTATTTTTGGCTTATAAATATATTTCCTTCAAATTAGGCTGTAACCATCTCTTATCATTCATACAATACCCAAGAGCACAGAAAATGTCCAAAGTAAAAGATGTATCAATATTTTGAAATACTGTTTAAGTACATGCAACACTCCAAAATATGACTTACTTTGTTTCTTTTCATATACATGCTAGCAATAATATACTGAAGTAAAAAAAAAAAGAACTGTAGTAACAGGAATCATTTTAGATAATGTGACTTTACTAGCATTAATATAAATTTAATATCATCATTCTGTATGTCTTATTCTTTCACCCAAGGATAGTTCCAGTCTTGTGCACACATTATATTCTGTAGAATTTACCACACATCAGGTGACATTTTTGCACACATTAAAGACTTTTTTCAATTATATGACTGTACTCTGGTTTTGTTACCCAACCATAAAATACAGTTTAATTATGAAGGTTGCATGAAAGTCATTTTCATAATTTCCCCCCTAAAAATACTCCAGTCCATTACTGGGCACTCCTTCAAATATTTCAAAGTGAAAGCCACAAACTACATAGACAAGGGACCATTCATAACCTCTTGAGATATTTGCATTTTACTTTTTGCTACTGGAACCACATCTTGTTTCAAAGAAAGATTTGCACACATATGCACATTTCCACATGCACTGCATATTAAAGCTCATCTCCATCTATAACACAATGCTCATCTGAGTCCTGCAACATAATGTATCTTTTGACATATAATGGGGATACATAGTTACATTCAGGGCCACAGTCATAAGGTATGACTACTTGTCCACAACCAGGGCTGGAAGGGGGCCTATTTCTAATTACTAATCCATAAAGTAGTTATACTAGTAAAGGTAAAGGTAAAGGTTCCCTTGCTCGAAAGCCAGTCGAATCCGACTCTAGGGTTGCGGTGCTCATCTCCGTTTCAAAGCCGAAGAGCCAGCGCTGTCCGAAGACGTTTCCATGGTCATGTGGCCGGCATGACTAAACACCAAGGTGCACGGAACGCTGTTAACTTCCCACCGAAGTGGTACCTATTTATCTACTTGCAATTTCTTGCTTTCGAACTGCTAGGTTGGCAGGAGCTGGAACTAGAGACAGGAGCTCACCCCGTCTTGCGGCACCCGGGTCTCGAACTGCTGAACTACTGACCTTCCACAGCCTGCAGTTCAGCGTCTTAACCACTTGAGCCACCACAGCTCCTAGTTATACTAGTACTTGTTTTTAAACCAAGGCAAAACACTGATATGTCTCAAAAAGTTTGGAAGCTATAACATTAGATTTAGAAAAACTATAAATACGGTAATTTAAAAAACTTCATAACTTTGCCTATTATCATACTCCGATAAACCCACCCTCTGGAACATTACCAGAAAAGAAAGAGCATCACTGATAATAGTGTATTGAGGAACAAGCTTACAGCTCCAGGAAATTACTTTGAAATAAAAAAGACTACTCTGATTACACTCAACACTGAACAAGTGTCAAAGACAAACTTCATAAAGCATATCAAGAAGATTACAATCAGTTCTTCAAAATAATGCAAAGGCACATTTTAACATACATATATAGACAGATATTCAGGAAATTACACTTTCTAGATTGTGTTATTAAGTATATCAATATTGAATGCTGGAAATTGAGTAGCAGAAATAAATATGTTGAAGTTAGCTTTAGTGAGCATAAAAGTCAGCATAACAAGAAAGACATATTATTGTAAATAATGCATTCTGACACCCTCAATTGACTATGACATCGATTAACTATGACATTCTATAAACTGAATGGAACAGAATTCACAAAAGAGAATTATGCCAGCTCTTTCCCTTTGAGCCCCTACTGAAAGTCACTCCTGAGAGTTGGGGAAAATTTGGAAATGGCATGGGGGAAGAAGACTATAGCTGGATGGAGGAAAGCCTATCCTTACTGCAGTTCTCACTTCATTGTCACAATGTTTTTGTGGGGGATGATTTCCACCAACTCCCCCACCAGCTGCATCCCCACTATTTGTAAAGATCCTCTATCAAGAGTAGTTGCGGGGGAGTGGGGATTCAAGGAGATCCCGTAGGAAGGGCAAAATGGCAAAGATCCTTTCCAAGAACACAGATTTATTTAATGGCTTGGATTCTATGAACTATAAAGCTAATAGAGGACAGCTGATTACTTTGTTGGTCTGTTTTATTTATTGCAAACTGTTGCAATGTGAACATGTAAAATGCATCACATTTCCCAATAGTGTTTACCCTATGGTCCTCACAAAAATGTCTGAGATATTTACATTTTAAACTTGGGTCCACTTCACTTATTCAGCCATCAATACTGCTTATAATGAAACTCTGTGAACAGAGTCCCACATGATAAGAAGCCACGCACACAGTTCTGGAGATCTTAGCCGTATCAATTGGTATGGGGTTTATGGTAACCTAGTTAAACTGCCTGGACGGACTCTCACTTAAATAGTTAACCCACTGGGGTTTCATCATGAGAAGTAACCCTATTCTTAAGGGAATGAAATGTGGATTTATTATTGGACAGAGCTCAGACAATTCTATCACCATCATTATAAATGAAAGTTCCTGTTACGCATTTCCAGCTCTGTCCTTTCTATAGAGATGCAGCTATTGTCCTTCTTTCTACTACCTTTTGTGGCATGCAACTGAAATCACTCGGGCCCCAAAGTTTTCTCAGAAAGAAGCAGCAGACAATATGTCAGAAATAATACACAGGGTTTTCCCAAACATCTTATTTTCGTCGCTTGTGTGCCGGTAGCTACTGTGTTGGTTTCTTCCTCTTTACTGCATGTGCTTTGCTCCCTCTAGTGGTCTCTTCGATGGTTCATCTCAGTATCTCTGGTTTATTTCTGAGTACTTTAAAGCCACTTGTAAATAAAGAGGAGATACAGAGATGAACCATCGAAGAGACCACTAGAGGGAGCAAAACAGGTGCAGAAAAGGAAAAAAAACCCAACACACTACTGGCACACAAGTGACGAAATAACTCATGCAGAAAAACCCAAAGACGGGACGCATTCGCCACTATCATTATACTGTCCAAACCGTATTAATGGACACCCCCTAAAAAAAAACCTGACAACTGATTAACACCAAGGAGCACTTATAACATGTATATACCTCCCCTTCTCTAAAGAACTCAGGGTGGCTTTCATGTGGGTTATTCCATCTTACCTAACAGCCTTCTGAGAGAAAACTGGCTATAAAGAGTGAGACTTATGATTAACCAACGATCTGAAAACATCACCCCAGTCCAAGTCTCATATTCAATCTGCTATGCTATGTTATGCTATAGTGATCATTTCACCAGGAGCATATGATACCAACTGTTGAAGATCTGTATCATATTTCATGGTATTTGGTTTAAACTTTAAAGGATTACATAAATGTTTAATCTATAAAAATGGTCAGTGGTGTGCTCAGGAACACAAATGAATGAAGAAATTTTAGTAGGAACTGGCTGCTCATACATAGATGAGTTGGAGTTGGAAAACTGTGGCCACAATCTCCACTTTGATATATATCCAGTTAGATAAATGCATGGAAAAATAAGCACTATTTGTTCTTGTTATCCAACTTTGATTAATATATGGGAGTGGACTGTTTCAACCATTTATGGACATCAGCTGATTTATTATAATTTCATTATACATCACTTGTTAATTGTTTTCAGGGGATATAAAATTTCTCTCTATGGTGTTGCATCTAAAATGGTTTGTTCACTCATACAACACATTCTCCTGAATCAGCAGAATTTAATATAAGGACAAAAAACCTTGACTTAATCCAAAATAGTTCTTTTAAATATCTTACATTGTCAGAAGCTCAGATTAAACACAATGTACTAGACGAGCAATGAGGTTACAAATAAGTTGGTTGGTAATATGTTGTGATAATCAAATAAATAGTTATTTACTTGAATAATAAATTGAGTATTTAAAACTTTTTATTTAAATATAGTTAGTTTTCATCAACTTGATGATATTGTATGGTTTTTAAAATCAATGAGCTGCTTCCTGTGAACTGCGAGAAGAAGAAGCTTGTGAAGCATCTTTCCTACCTTCCCCTTCTTCTAACACCACCATGTAACTTCTGAAAAGGTGATGCCAGAGGTCAGGGGATTCAAGTGGACAAAATGCCATATGGCATAGAAACCTTCAGCAAAGAGGGAGAACAGGGTGAAACCCCCACACACACACATACACCCATCATCTACCAGTAAACAAAGCTGACAGAAAGAACTACTGCTAGTGGAAGGGGATGATAGCTAGATTTATCCATTTTCCCCTCCTTACTGAAGTTCCACGTGCTGCAAGTCATATTACCCACATTGGTCTCCCAGGCCGGCAGCATTTCAGGAATTACATGAGGCTGCTGAGAGAAGGGGGGACAGTGAAGATTTGCCTTCACAAGCCCGGGCGAGACTTCTCCCCTATGTGAAATATGAGCTAATGGACACTGGAGATTTTACAGTCCTACATGCTTATACAGCGTAAAAGCTTCATGCAGAAACCTATTTCAACATACAATTCACCCATTGTTGTATGATCCATATCTCTAAAAAATTAGTAGTTTCTGGTTTTTCTTATACACATCCAAATGCAACAATCTAATTTTGAAGGAACTATGTTAACATAGGTTAAAATGTACATAACACCCCTCTATAACCCCAACAAATTTGACCAGAAAAGGCTGTTCTCTTTTTCATAAAGTTGCAAACAATACTGACAACCTGCAGAAAACATGAACTTCAAACTACAGCTTCAGTCACATAAAATACTAATAAGAATGAATAGGTCTTTTTAAAAAAATAATAAAATATTTAGCAAAGTTTGAGCTTAATTCTTAAAATTTTATTTATTACTTTCACCTATAAAATCAGATCAACTATTCTTTGTATCCTCTATGATGAGTATAATGCCTATTGTTAATTTAAGAACTACTGCAAATCTAAACTGCAAAGAATAACGTAAATCAGAGGTGGAATGCCTTCTGCTCCAAACCATTAGTCCTGAGGTGACTGTGGTGAATGCTGAGGTTTAAAACAACTTGCCCCCCCCCCTATATTAATATGGTTGCCCCTTCAAAGAACAAGACTAACTTACTTCAATAGCAATTTCATATTGCTTGATGAAAGAAATAAGTCATCAAAAATATTGAACGCTGCCTGAATTAGAAAATTCTCAAGATTCTGCTGCAATCATGAGCTGACACAGACAGACTGCCTTCCCAAGCAAGGGAAGAGGTGGAACAGTTGCCAGACTAGATGGAATCAAGCTAGTGCTGAATAAAGAGTTTCAGAGGATATAAAATTTATTTTGCTTTTGTTCAATATTAGGTACATTACCTGTTTCTGTTGCAAAACAACAATTTCCATTTTCAAGGTGTTTTGCATTAACTCTAGCTGATGCCAGCACAGGAATATATATTTTATGAGAGATTTCAAAATAGTCAGGCATGCTCACTTCCACACTGTACTCAATGTATTGTTGAGAGCAGGCAGGCAAGTTGTTCAGAACACCTTTCTGTAAAACAGCATGAAACATCTTTCTGTAAACAGCATTCATTTGAACAATTTGTACAGCATAAATACACACATTCTACTTTCAGTAGCAAGATCTGAAACGGGAAAAAAACCCTACAAGAAGTCAACATACAATTCAGCATAGTTCACCATGGAAGGATTAAAACTATATGCTGCGAAATTTATGTTCTTAGCTATATTTCGGGTATACCCTGTTGTTGAGGAATGTTGTTACTGTACTGTACCAGATGCTTACTTACCACAATAAAAAAAATATCAAGTAAAAATTGAAATGAGATATAATCAGCAAAAAATTAGAAATGAATATCAGATCCTTGATGTTATTTGGTTAAATAGCTCTTACAGCATACAAAACTCAATTAATCCATTTTATCCAGAAGTAATGGGTAGTACATAGCTACACTCTACCCTGCAGCAGCAACACTTAGCAAGCAGATTTGTTATACTACATAAGAAAACAGTTGTCATGCTCTACATTTATTTGTCTATCAAGGCTTTACAATGTATTGGTAATACTATCAAAATCAGTTTCCAAAATAAATTGCCCTTAAGTGACATAAATAAGCATTTACTCTGTCCACTTTATTCATAACAGAATTGGTACTAATGTTAAATTAGTGAACTAGTATATGTAAAAACAGATAACTCGTTTCTAATGGGATTCAGAGATGTAAATACAGCGTCCTGTGTTTAGCCAGAAATGTGCAATGGGTTGGATCCTATAACCCATCATCACTAAAAACAAGGAATCTTCTGTTGGAGCAATGAGCCTTGTTCTAAAAGACAATTTTTCCACAGGAGCTATTTAGGAGAAGTGAGTCATAGAACTCAGTGCGGGAGCAGAGATGTCATGGTATAACCCGCCTGGTGGAACACGCTTCCAATTGAGATTAGGGCCCTGCAGGACTTGCTACAAAGCTGTTCCACCAGGCCTTTGGTTGAGGTAGCAGATGTTTTCTACCATCTCAGCCTCTCCTGCCCATAGTAGGACTACAGATGCTTACTATCCTACTAACACCTAACAGGAAGTGAATTAGGCTGCTCTGGACTGATGTTATTTTTTGCTGCCATCCTGTTTTTATTTAATTGGTTTTTAACCATATATTTATTGTTTTATCTGTTGTGAGCCACCCTGAGCCCATCATGAGATAGGGTGAGATATAAATGCAATAAATAAATAATTTTTGAAGCCAAGAAGGGCTGGTAATTGGATAGGAGACCACCAAGGAAGACTGCAGAGGAAGGCAATGGCAAACCACCTTTGCTTCTCACTTGCCTTGAAAGCCCCTCACTGGGGTCACTATGCCAGTTGCACCTCAACAGCACTTACATATATGCTGTTTTAAATGAGAATATTGAAGACACTGACACAGTTACCTACTTGAAAAGGCAGTGGCCTGGCTCAAATATAACGCCAGACTAGTTGGTGGTTTAGCATAGGAAAAGGAGTACGACAAGGATGTATATTGTCACCTTGCTTATTTAATATACATGCAGAGTACATCATGTGAAATGCTGGCCTGGATGAATCACAAGCGGGAATTAAGATTGCCGGGGAAAAGATCGACAACCTCATATATGCAGACAATACCACTCTAATGGCAGAAAGTGAAGAGGACCTAAAGAGCCTCTTGCTCAGAGTAAAAGAGGAGAGCGCAAAAGTGGGCTTGAACCTCATCATCAAAAAAACTAAGATCATGGCAATAGTCCGCATGGTCAAAGCAATGGTATTCCCAGTAGTCATGTATGGCTGCGAGAGTTGGACTATAAGGAAGGCCGAGCGCCGAAGAATAGATTCTTTTGAACTATGGTGCTGGAGAAGACTCTTGAGAGTTCCTTGGACTGCAAGAAGATCAAAACACTCAATCCTAAAAGAAATCAACCCTGACTGTTCCCTGGAAGGCCAGATAATGAAACTGAAGCTCAAATACTTTGGCTGCCAAATGAGAAGGGAGCACTCGCTGGAGAAGACCCTGATGCTGGGAAAGATTGAAGGTCAAAGAAGATGGGGACAGCAAAGGATGAGATGGTTAGACAGGGTCATAAATGTAACGAACATGAAGTTGAGCAAACTTCAGAGGACGGCGAAAGACCGGAAGGCCTGGCGTGATCTGGTCCATGGGGTCACGAAGAGTCGGACTCGACTGTGCGACTGAACAATAACAAATACCAATTCAACTTATATGTCCCTGTATTATATTTATATCTCTTTACATAAACAGTATTCTTCTTTTTTCATTCTTTCAAAATGATCATTAATTATGCATTGAAACATAATAGTTATTAGCTTCCTAAGTTCCAGCATCTTCTATCTTCTTGTTTTGATCTGATAATACAGTTGATTAACTTATAAAGTATACATTGGAGCCCAAAAAACCATTGGGTCTATGGAAGCTTGCAATGTAAGCTAGGGGAGAATTTCCTCCCCTACCCCATGACCTACAATATGAGAGCACATACCTGACTGCTTCTCAGGCCCCCCGGCCCCCCAAACCTTACATATATCGAGCTAATAAATATATAGCTTGCTACTATGATAAAACATTACATCAAGCTCTATTTCACCATCCTCTGTTTCTTCAGAGACATGAAGTTTGCAACTTTTAACTGCAGTCAACGTTGAATGGGTCTTCCTTTTTTCAGCTCGAATTTCAACTTGCTCTAATTGAGGCAAACCTAATGCAGATAACAAAGCTGATCCAGAAACAGTGTCATATACAATGTATTGAGTTTGCTGATATTCCACAAACATTTTGCCTGACCGCAACCAACGGTATTTTATACCTGCTGCCTGGAGTTTAGAAGTAATAGGTTTTAAGTCTCTTTGAATCTTAAGCATTTCTGGGGGAAGGTCCGGAAATACAAGTATTTTGCTTCCTTGAAAATCCAAGCCGCTCTGCTGACGCACTTCCATCAAGATTTTCCTTTTAGTCCGATAGTCTGCTAGCTCCACCAGAATGTCTCTGCCAGAAAGAGCAGCCTGGGAGGAGTCTGTTGTTTTGCCTACTGTGTAGGCTCGTAGTATCAGTGGTGTCACTCCTTCCTCTAGTATTTTATAAATTTATTTTTTTTATTTTATTTCAACTTAAACAAAACACAACAATGGAACTCAACAAGGTAACTACATAGATTTATATGGACTTCGAAATAGAATATATGTGGTGGAAAACGTCATAATACTTTTTAGGAACATTGAATTTAGATAACTCAGTATTAAACATATATTCAAGAAAAGGGAACCATTTCAGATGAAGGTTAGGTTTCTTACATGTGAGATTTGTATTAACAGTTACATCGGATATTTTATCCATGGCAATCCCATATTTTCAAACGCCATGAGGACAGTAATAACCTATTTGGGGACTTCCAACTACTGGCAATGATAACCTTTATGACGTTTTTCACCACATGTAATCTATTTCGAAATCCATATAAACTTATGTAGTTACCTTGTTGAGTTCCATTGTTGTTGACAGTCATAAAAGTTTGTGTTTTGTTTAAGTTGAAATAAAATTTAAATTGTAAATTGAAAACAAAAAGAGGCCAGGGATATGTACAGAAACCTTCCTGCTCAGGCCCAAGCTGAGCAAATTAGTCGGGAGCTACTCTTAATTCGCCGGGACCCCTCAGCAGTTTTCGATATCCTCCTGGAGATGCTGGCTATGAAATCTTATGGGTGTGAGATACCATCTGGTAAGGATTTTATAGCTTTGAAGTTGAATATTTAATGAGTGGGACCTGAGCGATGGAGATGACCAGATTTCATCCCAGTCTGAAGGTAAGAATGTAGTATCACAATCTGTTTGCCAGGCCTCTAATTTTAAAGAGGCAGCCAGCCAAGACGCCATGAAAATAGAAAGGTCAGTTGTTTCTTCAGCATTTAATGAGAAGCCACGAAATTTCAAATTTTTGTCCCTTATGCGAGACTCTGGCATCATGATATTTTCCTCTAGACCAACTGTCTTGAGAGGTGGTTCGAAGCTTTTTTTCCAGGGAGGTGACTTTCTTTAATGCTGCTTCTGCTTTTTGAGCTGTTTGCTTATATTGAGACTCCAGTTCCTCCATGCGTTGGGCTAGAGGTGACATCATATCCATCATATCTTGCCTTAGCTCTTGACGTTGTCTCCCCAATGCTTCTAATAAGAAGCTTGGTGTAAGGAAAGAGTCAGCAGTATTTGTATTGCCATTGCCTGAAGACGCTGAAGAGGTGCTGGCAAGTTCAGCCGATACAAGAAATTCCTTTAGCAAAGGAGCTCCCCCGGCATTCTTTTGATTCTTTTTGCCCTTAGAAGCTTTAGGCGGCATACTTTCAGTCAGGTTTGTTTGAAAATAGTCAATTAGAGTTGATTTAAGAGCAAGAGGTCTGGGAGCAGCCGGTAATGGCTTCTGGTCAGCACGCGATCGAAGCCACGCCCCCCAGAAATTGGAAAATTCTAAAAAGGAAGCTTGTGCATCATGGGGGTGTTGGCTTCCATCCGGTACCTTTCCATCCTTAATTTAAACCCATTATTGCAAGTCCTATCCTGTGCTCCCTGATCATCCTCATTGCTCTCCTCTGCACACACTCCATTGTGTCCAAATCCTTTTTGAAGTGAGGCCTCCAGAACTGCACACATTACTCCAAGTGAAGCCTGACCAATGTAGTGTACAGTGGGACTATGACATCTTGCAATCTGGATGTTATGCCTCTGTTGATACACCCCAATATTTTTTTGTTGCTGCATCACACTGGCTGCTCACATTTAACTTACAGTCCACCTGTACACCAAGATCCTGTTCAGACACACTGTTACCCAGAAGCGTATCCTCCATCCAGTATGCGTGTTCCTCATTTTTGTTACCCAGGTGTAGAAATCTGCACTTATCCTTAAATTGCATCTTGTTCATATCCGCCCACTTTTCTAGTCTGTTCAGATCTCATTAAATTCTATCTTCTGGTGTGTTCGCTGCTCCTCCCAATTTGGTGTCATCTGCAAACTCCACACCCTCATTCAGATCATTTATAAAAATATAAATGATCAGAACCCAGAACCAAGCCCTGTGACATCCCATTGGAAACCTCCCTCTATTCACATGAAATGCCACTGACAACTACTCTTTGTGTGTTTCTCCAGTTCCCTATCCACCTAACTACCCTAGAGTCCAGTCCACAGTCCTCTAGTTTATGCATCAGAAACATCATGGGGAACCCTGCCAAAAGATTTGCTTAAATTTATGTGACCTTTTAAATTGCATGTTAGAGTCTATTTGACAGAAACCTCCAGAAGAACTAGGGCTCTGGCTTGGGATAGGTATGAACTGGGAAGATACATTTCATTTCAGTTTGTTGTTTGTGGCGTTCCCGGTTCGCGAACCACAAACTGTCAAAACCTTTTAACAGCCAAATGAATTAGTTCAATTTGTGAGGTTTGTGACCCAGTGGAACAGTTTCACGAAACCACGGGGGAAATCGGGCGAAGCCTCGGGTAAAAATATAGCCACGCGGCTTCGAGTTGGAAATTGACCAATAGAAGCGGGGCAAAGGGAGGTGCAACCGCGGCACAGCTCCTGTGTGAAATTGGTCTCAGTGTGCTAATAGTTTCCACCTCCACCACCACCAATGATATCATAGTCAAACTGTGATACAGAATTATTCTTTTTTAGAAAATTCTGGTTTCCCTAGTAAAAGTTAAAGGCTTCAGAAGGAGTAAAGGTATGCGTTGAAGCATATAATTTAAAATATAATATAATTTAGAAACACAGAATAAATTATCTGAATTGATTTTATACTTTATTTAGCTAGCTAACTTGTACTACGGTCAAAAGTTCAAGCCTCAAAGTAAGCTATCATTTATATAAGAGAGAGAGATTTGTTGTGCTGCGTAGTGAAGTATGAAAACACTGATATTATACACTGCTCAGGGATTTGTAATACAAAAATGAACTTTTTAAATATTCCTACATGTGTCTTAATGACAGATTAGGCAGTTTTACTACTACGATATTCACTGGCCATTATCAAACAAATTTTAGAGAGGTTCCAGTGTAACTAATTACAAACCTGTTACAGTTTCTCAAAACTGGAAATAAAGTACCAATAATCATTTATTTGCTGTTATTGTTTTAAATGAACTATTTGTATTACAATTCTAACAATGTGGAAAGCTGACCAACTGTCACCCCCATCTACATAGTAAATCCAGCATTATCATCCAGCATACTTCTCCATATTTCTGAACACCTATAAAAAGTGGTAATGCTGTTTTCTCTGCAGCAAGGCACAGGTGGCCACCTCTGCATGGAACAACCATGCAACACATTTTAATACCTAATTATAAGGTGGTAGGGAAGCTGTTCAAGTTTGTGACTTGGGATATTAACTTGTTGAGTTCATAATGCTTGAGTCTACTACAGATTACACCAGGTTTTATTTAAAAGTTCTTCTCTGGCTTGGTTCTTAAACTAAACATAGGAAAATACCACTGGAATTCTCTCTCTTGAGGCCTCCATCCTGCCTCTTTCTGCACCCCCCCCCTCCAAGTTCATGGCAGCATCCCAGGTGCTTAAATCCATAGTATGTCCAATGGCTCAGTTCTACGCTCCAAAATGGGAATGACAGAAGAGGTTTGCAGTTTTGGATACAAGGAATTTTATTCCAGCCAAAATCACAGTTTGTTTTATCATGTTAGCTACACAGCAGATCTAGGCCCTTGAAGCTAGTACTGATGGTGTCAACCGCCCTACTCACTCAAAAATAGCCTATGCAATTTCTTCCCGCTAGAGAAAATAAGAACATATGGGAGGTAACTAAATCACTAAGTTGTCAGTAAATGCCTATGTGCTGTTTAAATATGCCTAACAGAGCAGTTTGTATGTACAAAAATAAATTACAATAATTTAAACGTATTCAGAAACCATGGTTAGGGAACCGGAAGTGTGCCATGGGCTGACGTGCTCACTTGCTTTCCTCCCCTCCATCCCACTGTTCCCTCTCCTTACCATAAATTCTTTTAAGCCATGGTATAACATTATCTGTCTACAAATAATGGGCACAGTCAATGTAAATCAGAGTCCTGCTGATCCAGTGTTTATTTACGTCATTTATACCCTAACTTTCATCCCAATGGGAACCTAACGTGGTTTACATCTTTCTCTTCTCTTCCATTTCATCCTCATAACCACCTTGTGAGGTAGGTTAGGCCTGCAGCCAGTGTTCCCTCTAAGCTGAGTTAGTGTGAGTTAGCTCACAGTTTTTTAGCCTCCGGCTCACACATTTTTGTCTTGGCTCAGGGAGGATGGCTCCAGAGCAAACTAATTTATGCAGCAGCCAAATTGCTCGCTCACAATTTTAATGCCAGTAGCTCACAAAGTAGAATTTTTGCTCACAAGGCTCCATAGCTTAGAGGGAACATTGCCGGCCACACAACTTTCCTTTTCCCTGTTGATCTGGGGCTGCTAATTTCTTTACTTGGTTTCCAGAAAGAAAGGGCTGGTTCGCCCCTCAAGTGACCGGTCCTGTTCACACGAGGCAATTTGGCCCGGGAGCAGGACAGTTCGGGGGCGGATCAAACCAGCGCGATCACACCACAACATCTGGGAAGCGTCGTGCTTCCGCCCCCGAACTGGACCTTCCTGGGAAAAAGCGCCTCAAGTTGACACCACCTACCTCGGTGGTTCAACGAGTAGAC